TTGTAAGTCCTGGCTGCGAGGGTGTCGCGTTGTGTATTCAGGAGTGCGGGCCGTGCGTGATTGTGTATTCGGGAATGGGAGCCTGGGAGTGCGTAAAACACGAGAAAGTGCACTCTCACAGTGTCCCGTTTTGGAGACCCGTTTTGTATATATATATATATATTCATTCGTTCATACACGCATACGTAAACACATGCGTTGCACACATGCATGTGACAAGAATGCCCCAACTACGCACAAACACCAGCGAGAGCAGAATTTAACATTTGAGCATAAGTGCCTCTGTTCATACATGCACGTAAATTTCATAAATGCCTACGCACGCACGCCCACACACACCCACACAGACACAGACACAGACACAAACACAAACAGAGACAGAGACAGGGACAAAGACAGACAGACACACAAACACACAGACGCACAGACCCAGACACACAGACGCACAGACACACAGACGCACACACGCACAAACAAACACACACACACACACACACACACAAACACACACACACACACACAGACAGACACAGACAGACACACACAGAGACAGACAGAGCGCGCGCGCAAACAGCCAGCTGCATGAGGGTTAACACAGTAACAAGAAACGCCCTGGCACATGGACAAACGCATGGTTGAGCAGACCTGCACTCAGCATCTCGCCCTAAATGTACATACATACACACACACATATATATATATACATATACATATATATATATGTATGTATGTATGTATGTATGTATGTATGTATATACACATGAAGACATAAACAGTCGCACACACCCAAACACATACAGAGCTACACACACACAGACACAGAGACAGAGACACAAACACAGAGACACACACACACACACACGCAGACAGACAGACAGACAGACAGACAAACAGACAGACAGACAGACAGACAGACAGACAGACAGGCAGGCAGACAGGCAGACAGACACAGAGAGACACAAACACAGACACAGAGCACACGTGCGTACAAATGTATCTCGAACATGTATTTCCCCTTCTTTGGTATGCACATTGAGATGCCTCTGACACCTACGGCAAAGCCCACACTCTGGGGCACCGCGCAGGAGGCCAGGTCCGGCGCTGCAACGCTGGAACAGTGCCTCTTGCTCGGCTGCGGTCATCGCCACTTGCACCTCAGCGCAGGGGCCTTACTGCTGTGGAATGAATGCAGGGGTGTTTAGATGACTTTAGAGGGCAGTCATAGGCTTCAACTCGCATGTTCTGGGCATGACGCTTGCAACGATGCAGCACATTTTGCGGCTTATCGGTTTCGTGTAGCTAGTCATCCACCACCAGGCTCGACCAAGCAGAGACCCCCACCCAATCCAAGAGCTTCATGAAGCCTGCCCGGTCCAAGGTTCCACCTTCTGCAGGGAGGGATGAACTTCGGTTCCGGCATTTCCGGCTCCTGGCTCGAGCCTCCGGTTTGGTCGAAGAAAGCAAAACCTTGTGCCAGGGAGTACCTGTCGAGTAGACAATAGATGGGGAAACGACACCTGCCAGTCGCTGACAAATGCTTCCGACACTCGCGACGCTGTGTGATGCATGCCAAAACCATGATTCCGGAATTTTCTCAGCTCCTGTGACTCTTTAAAGAATCCCGGATCCACCCGCTCTGCTGTAGTCGAGCTCGCAACTGCTCGACCCGCTCCTGTGCTATGCCCACGGCAGTTTTCAATTCGCCTACCACGGAGACTTGCATTTCACATCACAGCGGCTGGTTTCAATTGTAATGACATAGAAGCCCCGTGGACTCCTTCACCGGATCGCCATAGACGGGGGTCGGGGCCGCTGGTGCCGTAGGCCTTGGGAAACTTGGTCTCACCTTTCATCCCCACAAGGAGGCTGGGCATCCAGCGCGTAGCTGGCGGCTGGAGCAGGGACCGGGACCTGCTACCAGGCCCCCTCTTAAAGGAACCCTTAATGGAACCCTCAAAAGATCCCATGAACCCTATAAACCCTATACACCCTTATCCTATTTGGGTACGGGGGCTAGGGCGGCCGGGGTAGGGGCTCTGGAACTCGGCAGCTGCCTGTGCCTGGCCGCCGGAGCTCAGGGCCCTGGCCTGAGTTTGTCTACCAAAGTGCCGCAGACTCTTGTATCCAGAGACTACCTTTCGAGAGTTCTCAGCACAGGAGCACGAAAATCTGTTTTGCATGGGCGCAGCCGACTAATCTCGCTATTCGTGGTCATGCAAAATCAGGTTTCTGCTTTGCAGATCCTGCTGCTGGAGTATTATTATCTTATGATCGTTTAGCATAGCACCGGGCATGTCTCTCAAGGTGAGACTACCTTGTGTGCTTGCCCCTCGGCTAAGCTCATGAGGGTCTCAATGTCCTTGAGATCACCTGAGAAGACAACAGCACCATTTTTCGTCTTCACTCCCGGGCAACTGGGAAAACTTGGCCGGGTGCTGGCTACAACAGCTTCCGCTACCGAAGCTTACTTTACTCCCACGGCACCCTTCTCCACACAATACATTCCTCGACCACCCCAGAACACGTTGCCGAAAACCGATGCTGCTAAGTGCTACGCCAAGGAGTTCAGGGTGAGGCCCGTGAAGTTTTAGGAGTGGACTAAAAGAAGCTCATGGTGGGATAAGGGTCCGGGCGTTCTCAAGTTAACGCAGTATGGGTTGGACGTGGTTGGACAGCTTCGCGGCGCCTAAGGCCCAGGCGCTCGATACCATTCCGAAGCTCCAACGCCTGCACTCGGCCATCTCGGAGATCATAGCAGGAGCCATCTCACCTCCCGCCTCCTTGTTCCGAGCTGTCTTCGCCTTGCTGGGCTTGGGATCCGCTAGCTGCTCGTCATCAATGACAGCGAGGCGAGCCTAAGTCTCTGAAGTTTCTGGGAACAAGCTTGCCGACAGTTGTTGAGCTGAAGAAGGAACGGAGGATCCCTAGGCGGGCTAATTAGCACAAAGATGCACTGCGGGAGCGAACTGACAAGTTCTGCTTGGCGCCGGGCCTGCTTGCGCTGCACGGCACTCACGAGATCTTCAAAAATATCCCGCTGTTCGCCGTCGAAACCATTCCTGGAAAAATCAAGCCGGCAAGAGATTGAATCATTCCACGGGCAAGAGAAGCGGCAGCCAAGGAGCTCATCAAACCTTCGCCGGTCTTCGCGACGCGTCGCCGCCTGTCCAGGCCATTATGGCAAGATTCTTCGCGATTGAATCGAAGCATGCAGCAGCCCCTCCCAACCTGCTTCTGTCATGCACCCTCGAACAGTCTTAGCTGGAGGAGGGTTTCTCCCAAGTCACTCGAAACAAAATGACCGGCGATTTGATGAGGCAGGACAAAAGCCTCTGCAGCACCGCCCGTTGGCGGGACGCTGCCAGGCTCCACATAACCCATGCTGCCCTTGGGCAGCATTCGGCCACCACAGTAGCGGAATCGGTCCTGGTGTGAGCGTCTACCGCTGTGTGTGTGTGTGTGTGCGTGTGCGTGCATGCGGGTTTCTGCTTTGGGACGACAAGATCTACTCAAAACGTGGTACTCGGGAAGCTGCAGAGGAATCGCTTTCCAAGCCTGCAGGTTCTGCTTTTCATGGTCCAGATCTTTGCCTTTTGGAAGGTCGGGCTGAGCACGGCGTCTGCGCGCCTCCTCCGCCTGTCGTCAGGTTCATGATTGGGGAAACCTGTTGCGGAAACCCACAGAGAGCTGGTGCTCGAAGCCACCATCTCCACAAACAGACTAGGTAACACGACTGCTCCGGCCTCAAGCTCAGCGAAGATCTCACGAGCAGGTCTCCTCAGGAAGCGTAAAAGTCTGGAACCCGCTGGGAGATCGCGATTCGATGCGGTGCAGGCCCCCGACCTGCAAGGAATGGGAGGTGCAGGCCATTGCCTTGGGTCGTCCATGTCTCGCCTGAGTTAAGTCGCTCTTCTCCGGTCGGTCCGCACAGCTATGGCTCCGACTCGTGTCTACATGTCAGGGGTTCATGCAACGCAACTGAAACTAGAGCAACGCCCATACTCTACACCAGCTATACAAACCTTGACGCCGATAACCCTCACGCACCACATTCACACGGTGCTTAAAATTTGGGGTGCATCTTACGACTTTCTCCACAAGCCTTCCTATAAGCTCACTGACGTTTCCAGAGACTACACAATGTAGATGAGGCGGCTCTTCACCAACTTGCACACAAACTTGTTTTCATAGACGGAAGAGATGCAAACCCGAAACCCCTAAACCCGAAACCCTAAACCCTGCAATGAGCCGAGCTCTCACAACCCAAGGCCCTGACCTCGGCGCTGCGGCCCGAGGTACACGGACTACTGCCTTCGAGGGGCTGTGACAAAGGACCATGTTTAGGGATTTAGGGTTTAGGGGTTTTTTTCCCTCCCACTTAGCTAGGACGAGCCCGCATTGCAGGGTTGAGTTCAGAATAGTTGGGTTACAGCGGTGACTGTTAGAAAGAGTCATGTTGACAGTCTATGCACCAATTACCAGCGTCTAAGCCGAGATAGCCATCAAGGCTACCAACACATGTGAATCCCTTCACGGCATTCAACAAAACCAGGGCATTGCCCCTCGAAACTGACAGTCACGACAACCTCCTCGCATGGCATCACTCTGTGAGCAGACGCAGCAGGCAGTGCACATACCAGGCTTACGCTCTCGCTCCACAGCCTTCTTCCGACTACGACAATACACAATGTCATCCAATGTGTATTGTCATAATCAGACCGTTGCACCAACTCCCTCAACATCCACTTCAGGCTTTGTGTATCCCTACTACTAGTAGGAGCAAGTTAGTGGCATCTTCAGGCAGCAGGGCTTCGCATCAACAGCCATGTTTCATGCTTTCCCTCGTGGTGCGTCATGCAGGTGGCTCCAGAAAAAAAAACTGCATAGTCCTAGGTTTGCCGGCAAAGGGGTTTAGGGTTCAGGGATTTAGGGTTTTAGGGTTGACAAAAGACCATGAGGCCTCTTGTGGCTTTGGGTCGGTCTCGACGCAACTGCAAGTGGGATGGCCATTCTCGGGGAGATCGAGAAAGCTACCAGTACCAAGAGCCCATGAACAAATATAGATATGTATGTATGTATATGTATATGTATATGTATATGTATATGTATATGTATATATATATACGTATCTGTAAAATGCATATGTAAATTTCTGGTGATCGTTTACTATATCGTATGGTATCAAACAAGCATTTGAAATCGCATGGCGTTATGTTATGTTATATTATATCATATTGTGTTATATTGAAGTGTATTTTGTATATACATGCACATCCAAATCTATATGTACATGTATACACACTAGAAGCTATCTGCAGACTTTAACAGCACCCTCTTCCAACCCAGGTCCCATTGCTGCTCCTTTGGAGCTGCCGGCTTTGCTTTTGGCGGGGGCTGCCAGCCTCGCAGGCGGATGCTAGAGCTGAAGGTATGGCATCGAACTGAGTTCGACAAGGGGGGGATCATATCGGTGCAAGAAGGAATGGGACTAGCACCTACTCCTCCAGATGCTCGCAGGTTCGCATGATCGATGCAAGCAGTCAAAATGTTCCGGGGCCCAAGCGTGTTGCTGGGGTTGCCAGCTGAGGGTAAGAGATCTTCGATCCCAGTTCGCGGCTGCCGGCCTAGGCCATCGGAGTGTATATGTCAACAACATGAGCTTGATCGTCCAGACCTGCAACAACTTCTATTTCGCTTGCTTGAACAGGAGCAAGCGACCAAAAGAAAGCCCCATGGGCAGTCCAGCTGGTATGGCGGCATCAACTGCTCGGCTAGAGCCAAACGTGTTCCACAGTCAGCATGATTTAGGCCCGCAGCTCCTTTATACAGCTTCCTCAGCATGCGCCCGGCCTGCCCAAGAGTCTTGCTATGTTCGAGATTGCGGATTTGGATGTAAGCGACGATAGCCTGAGTTTTTTCCCGCCTCGGTGTCGCAGCCGAAATGCTTCCAGACCTCCAAAACAAGGCCGAAAAAGTTTCTCAGGGCACATTGCTGTGGTGCGTGAATGGGAACCTCCTTGCTCTGCTCAGGCACACTGTAGTCTGCAGTTCGTGCCGTCCTGCGAGCTTCCGCCGAGGCTCTCATTAGATGCGTCCGCTTGACCATGCTCGCAAATGCTGCTTTCAGACTGAGCCGGCTGCGAACTCTCCGAGGGAGTTGCTCTGTCAGCGGATGGATGCTGCATGTTGGCCGACCTTACGGATTTGAGATCCCTTGTAGCATGCTGCCAGCAGCGTCTAGGGCCACTGGATGGTCTCGACTGTATCCACTTCCACCAGCTCTTCATCTACCTCATCGGCCGGTAACCTGGCAAATCTGCAAACGAAAGTTGTGGTACGTTGTACGCGTGCCAAAGTCCTAATGTAGGTGTGTAGAAGAGTTCGAGCCAGCATTATTTTGCTCTGCTGCCTGATTTTTCGGATTTGCCAGAATCTGGAAGCTCGGCGCACACGTGCAACAATAAATTCAATGTTGAAGGTAAGCAGCATAGAATATTGCTACACACTTGTACAAATTTTTTGTAAACGTATCAGAAGTTGATGTATTATTGGCGTAATTACGCGCGAAACGCCGTGCTGGAAGTGGTGGCGCAAAGTTGGTACAGGATAAGCAGCAGCGGCAGCAGCAGAAGTGGCGGTGTCAGCGGCGACAACAGTAGTAGCAGCAGTGGTAGTAGTAGCGGTAGTCCTCAAGCTGTTTCCTGCACGACCGCTTCCGCCACGCCCCCTTTTGAACCAACTCGAGTAACATTCCCAGGGTCCTAGGGGCTCAAAGAGTGATAGCATAGTCGTGGCAGCAGCAGCCGTTTCATTGACACATGTCACTCAGCAGCTGGCATAGGCCTAAGTTAAGTTACACCGGTGGCATGGCAGAACGAAAAAACCAGCTTTCTTGTCATTTCCGAAGTTGCAGCCGAAGGGCCCAGTCTCGGCTTCGTCCCCGTCGTCCGCACCATTGTCCTCAATCTCCGTCTCGACCTGCTCTAACGGTGTATCTGTTTACACTCGGACCTGTCCGATCACCCTTGAATGCGCGGATCCGAAGCAGGGAGCAATAGCCGTGGCAATGACACTGCAGCCGGTTCATCAGCACGACAAGCAGCTCGAATTCGAGCCCGACGGCGACATCGAAGACCAGACCGCAAACAAAACCAAAGCTACCGCAACGAGTCACCGCTCAGGCAACAACAACCACACTCATATCATCGCATAACAGCCAATGCATGTCAAAATGAATCCCGAATGTTTCCACGAAATTGCAGTTGCTTACGCTAGTGGCCCGGCCCAAGACGTAAGAAACCTTGAGAGTTTTTTGCGACTTCTCAATGTGGGCCTACCTCGGCCGCTCGACCTGTTGGAGAGGAGGGCGGAGCAGCGCAGGCCATGGCCGCCTTAATTTGTCATTGCTAGGCTGTCCCGTTAGACTTGCCGACCAAGGTTATGCAGGGCAGAGAGTGACGAAGCCGCACCGAGTGGGCAAGCCAATGCTACCAAGGTGCCGTTTGCCAAGCCAATGCCGCACAAGGGAACGTACTAGTTCATAAGTTTCTGCTGGCTTTACACCTTACATTCAGCTACTACGGGCCTGGTATACCAAAACATCACTCCGTGGCTGCAAGCATGACGAGAGTAGCTTCCTGGGCCGGGCGTGGAAACATTCGTGCCCCTTTTCCATGTCTTGAGGCGTGGCGCATTGCGAACATGCTGCTGATGCCACCGTTCGAGCCCAAGCTGCATCAGGATTCTTGTCCAATAGTGCAGCCAATTCAACCGTTGCACAGATTACGCTGTGTATGTACTATTGCTGTCACAGCTGCTAGTACCAGCATGATTCACCAACTATCTTTGCGGTGACCCAACATGAATTTGACAAAAGCAGCCTGGGCATCAAAGTCGAACTGTCTTGCCAGCTCGTAGTAGTTCAGCCTCAGTACGGTTTCGACTTCCACACTCGCACACAGTACAGTTTAATTAAGTGTCTAGCGGTTGAGGGATGGTTTAGCGATTTTGGTTTTGGACCTTTTTCAAGCGCTTCTCAAACCCTTTTGAACATCTCCAGGGACGGTGTGGACACACTAGCCAGGAAGGCTTGACTCGCAGTTGTTTGTAGCCAAACTCATCATGTGTATAGTAGTTCCTTGTATCTGTCCGAGGGAGAGCACAAATCCTGGCTACAATCAGAAGCCGTTAGTACCGTCGTTGTGTTGCAGTGTGCAAACACTGGGGAGGCGGAAGTTGCGTTTGACGTTCTATGGCTGGTGGGTAGACACTAGGACACTAGGAGTGGTTGCGATTGTTTCGCAGTTAGACGATGTCAAAAACCTACAGAATTGTCATGTGCGATAGAACCCAAATTCAACAAGTGTAAACCTATGCACAGTATTGGGGAATTACTGCATTCCCTGCCCCGCAAAGCATCAACTGACATGCACTTGGCTGTTTTTCCTCACACAGCATCTGAGACAACATGGCACGACCTGCAGGGCCCGGGTCCAGCAGTGCACTCTGCAAGGCAGATATCATCTCCTGAGCTATGGAAGGGCATGCTGTTTCTGGGTTTGGTCGGACGTCGATCACACCTGGCATACTTTGGCCCGGACAAGTTGCCTCCGGTTCTGGGAATTGTTGGTTTCTCATGGGGTGAGAACATGTGCGAAATCATGCAACATGTCTTAACCGCTTGAAACAGTTGCTCCATATCGATCGGATCAAGCACACAACTTTTGACGAATTACTTGGCTGTTACTTCCGTTTATTTCCCATAACCATTGCTTTTGCCGGCAGGTCTCAGCATTTGTTGCTGCCTCCAAGCCAGGCGCTGCAGTGACCCGCAAACTGCGGGCGCAGGTTGGAAGCGCTCCGACGGGTGCGAGGTGAACGAGGAGAACCTCCGCTGTGTTGTGTCGGTTTCTCTCCATTTCTGATTCCACCACTTCCGATGGGGGTAATGTTGTAATATGCTGGGCTCCTGTTCTTTGCAGCAGTCAATCCTGGGAACGGATGCCAGCTATGCTACATTGTCAAATGACTCGTTTCATAATTATGCGCAGTCTCCGGGAAGTTACATTATTAAGGGGTTGTGTCACACCCGGCTTAAGTTGGGATTCTTATGGCGGCTCTACAATGCAATGAAAGCTTTTCGTTGGCATGCGGGATGTATTGCAACACCTTTCATCACTGCCCGGCGCTTCTGTCAAGCCAACTACTTTTCGACAGTGCTCCAATTCCAGGTGTCAAGTTTTGTCAGTCAGCAGAAGGTACGTCCCTGGAAAGATGCAGCGCACAAGCTGTCCCTGTGAAGTGTCCACTACCTTAACTTGCATCGTCTTGCATCAGTGTACTGCGGTGTCGTGTCGCGATCTTCCAAAAATTGGCACAACAGCCAACTCCAAGATTGATAGCTGACGTCCCTCATCCTCAACTGCTAAGAAAACGAGACCATCAAGTCCTAAACCTTTTCTTCCACAGGCTTGAACTGAGCTCGCCCGGCCAAGTCCCTCGCAGCACGTCCTAGTCCTAAACCTGAATCGTGCAACCGTAAAGCTCGAAACCACGGGCTCAAAACTCCACAGCCCCACAATGTTCCCACGGCCATGCCAGACCTGTAGACCGGTGTCGGAGGCAGCCAAACTGAGAACCTCGTCATTCCTCAGTTTCTTGCAGTTGGTGCTGTGCAATCTTTAAAGCAGCAATTTTTTTCCGAAGGTTCTGTGAAAGCTTGGCTTCAGGTCGCTTGAGGCTCTGGAGACTTGAAGTTTGCAGCCTTGCCACAAGACTGTGGCCATTTCGGCCCCGCCAGGTTCAACGAGCAACTCAGCCACTCTGTCCTGTGGGCAACTGCAGATCTTGCGAGATGCATTGGGGCTTTATGCTGTTATCCTGGCCGCCAGGCATAGCCTACCCTGTTTTCCGCTCTTACTTACAGTGACTGCGAGCTCGGCAAACGACAACCACGTTTTACAACTCTGAATGGTGCAGCGTTTGCTGCCATGAAGTGCGACATTCAGTTGAATTCCGTGACAGCTCCGAAGATACGAGGCTCAAACTGAAAATGATTTGGACCTGCTTGAGTATAGCTTGTGTCCTTGGAATTTCCAATGCCGAGCAGTGACCACAGGTCGTCATCTTCAGTGAGAGGCTGCTGCACACCTGAGGTCGGGAACCGTGGCCGTCATGCAGGCGGAGTGCCACCTTCCCATCTCTCACCCCACATTGTCCAAGCTGGCAAATGTGCATCTCAAGTTCGTTCCCTCATGTAACTTGTCTGCCATGTTAATGGCCAGGCGCTCAGCTGTTCAATGGTCAACAGCACTTGGCTCACTGATGTAACATGGATTTGTCGGGGCGGACTGCACTTGTATGCTGTTTAGATGCTTAGTCGTTGCACAATGTGTTGACAGACTGGCTAGCTGCGCCAGAGGGCATGAGGCCACTACCGTCCGTCATCAATGATATGCATATCTTCATTTTGATTGGCTTTCATCGGCAATGCAAGCAACTGATGACATTTCATCATCATGTTGCTGCAGCTCCTCACTTCCCTATACCGTGGGCCGGATGACGACTTCATACTGTTCCGGAGACCCCTTCATGTCCCCCGACTGCTGCAGCCGACTCAACTGTTTTGCAGGCTGGCAGCAACTTCTTCAAATAAAGTCTCTAAGCCTGCTACTGAAACTGCTGGGACGCAGGGCCTGCCCTTCAAAACTTGTGTGACTGCGTGCCACTGCCACATGACCTGACTAAGTGGCAGCCAGGGGACGCACGGCGCGCTTCCCCGGCCGACGTTTTCGCCCTGCTGGCTCGGCCCCCGTGATCGCACCATGCAAGGCGGTCAGCAGCTGATGCTCCGTGGCGGCCTTTCTGCGGGGCGCGTGTCGTGCAGGAATGACGACCGTCCAACGGTGGCGATTCTGCTCTATGCCTTTCCCGCGAAATGGCCGGCGAACTGCCGAAACAGCGTCACCACCTCGGACATCATGATGAAGCATGCACAAGGCGCATGGGCGAGCAAACCAATGTAGAGCAACAAAAGTTTCGACACCGGAAAAGTATCCGCAATGTCCACGCTGAGCTGCCCAATCAGTCTTGAATCCTCTGATCAGGATCACTATCAAAATCTTAGGCGTTTTTGGAGACATTCTCCCAGCCAAATTTTATGATTATTATGATATGTTGCTTTCATGCATAGTCTTTTCTAATAAGTGTTGGCGGTGAAGCCTGCAATGGTGCGTTTTGCCTGTGCGTCTGTTACGATGAACTGCTCGGCAGAACTTCTGAATATTCGTGCCTTGTGCCCTGCTGTGCAGTCAAAGTGCCGCTCCCGGGCTTCCCAATTCACCCCGGAAAGCGCAGGAAATGCTGCAGCGGTAGTAGGCACCGTGCCTCGTTTTGTTTGGATGATACAGCGCTTGAGTATGGTAGTGGGTGTAAGTCTCAAAAATAAACTTCCAGAACAGTCCAGAACCACATGAAGTACATTGGGAGCTGAACCTGGTCTCAACACATCATGTTTGAGGAGACGGCTGCTGACTGCTTACGGAGACGATGATGCTGATCGATGTTCGTGCCAGGGTGAGGTCGAGACATTGCTCAACTGAGTCCAGTGGCGCCCTCCAGAGTGCCGCCAGGCAGCAGCGTGCCAACCTTCAAGGCCGGCTTCTCGGTTTGCCGATGCTTTTGGATTTCAGCTCTTCCGGAACAAGTCAGGTAGTATGTAGAGTCAGCACATGCAAGTCTATAGCTCTAAGATCTCTAAGCGGACGAATCTAATGCGGCAGCCGATGCTGAACGTAGCGACTACATGAATAAGGGCAAGCCTTTTCGACACACGCAGATCTGGATGACAGGGCTTCATAGGCATGTACGGTAGTGAGGGAATTTCGGGCACGAGTGTTCCAACGAGCTATCAGAGGCTCTTAATCTGCCAAGGTGGTCATCCGGCCGCCGACGAAGCATGCAGCCAAAAAGCCAAAGTGACAGCACCCCCAATCAATTGTCACAAGAGCGCACACTCATAGCAAAGGTTTATTCCACTCAGGTTCTTCTCTGTGTCCAAGCCCTCAGGGTTTCGGGCTTGGATTTTCAGCTTTCACATGTGACATGGAAACAGGCATGGCTGTTCATGGCCCCTCATAGAGCTTCAGCTGTTTAATCCATCATGTCAGAGTCGATCCAGCCGGGAAGCTGCAACTTGAGTTGCCCAAATCCCGAGCAAAATCTTCATGTAACCTGAACCTACCTGCACAACGAAAAGCCAAAGTCTTGGTTTTCAATGCTCGAGTTGTTGTGTGTTCCCCGACGAATCGACATAGCAGCCCGTCATCAGGAGCCTGAAATCTCTCCACTTTCCGAGTCCCCAGCCTCGACCTCAAGCAACTGAAGGGCGAATCTCGCCCATTCGGGCTTACAGCTGCCAGGCGACGCAGAAAGCTCAGCAGGCCAGTCGCCGTCGTTGGCCTGGAAGTCGGACAGCTTCAAGTCTACCTCGGAGACAGGCGACTAGTCAGAGTCCAATCTGCGCCAATGTCACAAGCCAGCAAGCGTCGAGGGTTGCTTGCTCGAAGCTGAAAATTCGGTACCAGTGGCATGGACAATAAATCGGAGGCAGGGTCCCACGCCCGGATCCATTTTCTCGACCTTCTTGGGACAGGGCCAGCCATAGCTTGCCTCCTGCTGCGAATCGGGCCAAACTTCTGCATGTGGTACTGACATCCATACCGTAGTAGGGGAGTGGCATGGCGTGGCAAGCTCGACAAGTCGGCGGGTGTGACTGCAGTGAACCTACCTCCCTAAACCCTAAACCCTAAGATCGGAGGCCCCCGTAGTGCAGGGCTCCTCAAGGCCCCCGTAGTTCTGGACGGGTGGCCGCCATGACGCGCTGTTTCGCTGACGGTAGGCCAGGCCCCCAACTATGTCCAAGAGGCCTCCACTGGCGTACCACAGCTTCAGCCGGCTCACGATTTTGGAGGTGAACTCGCCAGTCCAGCCTTGGGCTTGCATAACCTACTAAGACTTCAGTAATTTAGTACAAGCATCACAAGGTGTCATGCTTACTGTCCTGAGCATCGGACCTAGGCTTAACCGAAGCAGTGGCCAACCCACTTTCTCAGCCGCCCAGGTAAACGCAGCTGACTGCTCGCTTGTGACCTCACGTACGGATCTGCTTAACAACCGAAGGGCCTTATTCCTAGAATCCAAGACATTCCAAGACCTCCTACCCGTGCGACACCGGTGGGAAACCGAGGCCATCGCGGCATCAGGGCAGCCTCGTCACAGTCGCAGCGCATGCTAACAGTCTCCAACGAAGGCTCTGCCTCGTCTAGGGCCCCCCGTGGTCATTTGTTGGCACATGCATGCTCCTAATCACGTCCTGGACATGCATGGTGCAGAAGGACCACAGTTGGCATGGTTATCAGCCCATCGCCAAGACAAAGGCGAAAAAACATGCTTTTGTGCTTGGAGACCCTTTTTCCCGAGAGGCTTCACCAAAAAAAACATGTGCCAACAGCCTCGTGATTTTGCTTTCCGCTTTTGGTGTCCCCAGTGAGCTCTAGATCCTTCGAGTGATGGAACTCAACCTCGACTAGACAACGCAAACAACGGCGACAAAAGACTGATCGTGCATGCAAAGTGGCCCAGGAAGCAAACGACGCGACGTGCCGGAATCGTCACAGCATCCGGCAGAGCACGGGATGCGAATTGTCCAGCGATGGGCAAGCTCGGGTAGGCTTCCTTAGCATTGAGGTTCGGGTTTGGGGAGCTCCAGCTTTCAATAATGTCCGAAGCAGAGGTGTCATGAAACCTTTTGCTTCGTAACCTGCGCCAGGTGCCTGTGCCTGACCCTTCTTCAAGCGATTCACTCTTCGGAGTCAACGGTGTAGGGCCGCGCTCAAAACAACCGCCCAAGGAAAGAAGCAAGGCATCAACACTCCTGCAAGAACGTTCACTCGCGCAACCCTTTAGCTGCCTTACTCTTTACTTTGACCCCAACCTCCGGAGGCCACCTCCAAACCCCAAGGAATGCAACCACAGAACGTCAAGGAGCACTGCCACCGAGTCCTGCCAAGCTCTTGAAAAACGGTCATGCTAAGTCGCTCCCTCTTCTGGAGTTTGCCAGTTCACATTCTGTCCTGACCGTGTCCCAGGGCCTCCAGGAAGGCGCGCGCCGAGTCTTGCAAGCCCCGAGCTCCTGCAGCATCCAAGGCCGGGCTTTCCAGGGATCTCTAAGAAACCCGGGGCTTCGGGACAGATCTTTGGGACTTTGGGATTTAGTCCCAAGGATTCGGGTTCTGCTTGCAATCCTTCCGTCCTTCAGCCTGAGGATGGAAGGCCACACCCTGAAGATTCTTGCGCTCCTAGGTTCGCTTCTAACTGAAAGCTGTCCGATAGTTGAATGCCGCACATCCAACTTTATCTAAATTGCAAAAAAAAAAAAGCTCCTAGAGGAATCTGCAGAAAGCTGGTGCGCACCCAGAAGGCAGACATGGGGCGGCCACGTGCCGCAGCTGGTGGAGAACCCTGAACTCATTCAAATCCTCGGGGTCCATCTCAGGGCACAGAGGCAACAATGCAGTCTTGAATCCGCGAACACAGTCACTTGTAGTTTAGTGCAGCTGCGAGGCGGTAATGTCAGTGAGAAACTCTGGACCTAATATCCACCATGTCAGATCCTTAAAGCGCCGGCCACCCTCGAAGAGGATGACAGCTGCGGTGCGTGGCGCCTGAGCTTTCCAAAGCCTCTGCGCGCAAAATAACCCCCAAACTGCCAAACGGCCAGGTGTACCGAAACCATCCAAGGATATCCACGCTGCACTGGTTGTCGTCCGCTGCAGGGCCGCTATCAATGATCTTGCCAGAGAATCTCTGCGGTTCCCAAACAGCCTGGAGGCTGCTTTGATACCACTCCTCATTTCATTCCGCATGATAAGCTCCACAGGGAAATGCCAGCTGAAGAGGGAAGGGAAGTCCAAGAGTCGGCCAGGAATCCCGGCTGCTGCTACCTCTGACCAAGAAGCAGAAGATCACTTCCTGAGCACTGAGAGAGGCGATGAGAAAGAGCGACTTTGAGTTTCGGTCATGGAGCTCCTACTCAGGTCCTGCTGCCCTTTCGAAGCGATGGCTGAGTTTCCGGACACCCCAATCTTAAAACCCAAACCCAAGAACCAGCCAGTGAAATGCTAGCACAATGATAGGATAAGACTAATGTCTTTGCCAGGCTTCGGCAGCCAGAGCGGGTCCGAGTCCCTCTGGAGAAGCGCGCCGGCCCTTGCAGCCAAGTGGGAGGAGCCGGTTCAAGGAAAACTTCGAAAAGCTGTACAGCCGAACAGCACCGTCGGGACGAGCTCAAACTGAGTCGATTCGGTGGGAGGTGACTTGTTTTCGGCAGAAGATGAAGTTTGCATGCGAACAGGTGGGAATGAACGGGTGCGATTAACAACTCCGGTGCCAACTGCCAACGAAAACAGCTGATGATTGCAGTGGAAATAGTGCTGCTCTAGTGCTCATGGGCCACCGGGTGGTGACCACCATGTGACTTGGGAATCTCAACGATGGCATCAAATGGCAGCACTCATTGCCAAATGAGGTGCAAGTTTTGGATCGTGGCTGCGCCGACCTGGATGCAGCATGCGAGCCGGGCCACCCATGCTCCAACATTGACAGCCAAAGCGTGCACTAAGCAAAGTATTGGTTGCGAGGCACGAGGTCCGAAGCTTTGAGAGCATCTCGCCCATGGGACGCATGAGGGAGTTGTTGCCACCTAAGTGTAAGGTGGCAGAATAAACAAACTACCCTAGCTTTACTCTGACTCCGTGGGCACTAAGTGAAGCCCTTTCACGTGATGTGCCTCTTGGAAATCGGCGAGTCCTGCAGTGGAACGACCTGTAAACTCTCTGAGCCATCCACCCCTGATGTCACAAACCATGACACCATTGCTGTCAGACATGTCCGCGGGGCAGAGAAGCTAGCTCAAGCGGCGAGCGTGCGCTCGTACCGCTGGTTACTATCAGCACCTGAACGATTCCTCTAACTCTAAGCATGTTTCTCTCAGCTTCGATGTCATGTTTTCAGAAGCATTCAGAAGCTGTGAGCAGTCAGAGGTGAACGAGTGTGAACACCTACGATGCAAGACCTCGGTTTCTCAGAAGCACGACTGGAAACCTTCCTTGAGCCATGGGTTGCTACAGTACTTGCAATAGCATAATTCTCTTGAAGGCAGAGCCCGTGACAGCAACAGCCAGAGTGCTTTGCAGCCGTGCCGGGAGCCGAACATTCCCCTTTGCGTTGTGTCGCAGCGCAGTATTAGGTCGTCCTGCTCCCAGTCTGCCTGGGCTCTGTGCGTGGCAAGATACCGCGGCAACATGTCTGCAACTGCCAAAGTTTGACCGTTGTTGAAGCCCGGATGCCATGTCCACGCCGGACGCTGTCAGCAGGCGCCGCAGCCTAGGATACATGAGTTTCTAACTTGGGGCCTCTCGGAACTTCATTGCAGGCTGTGGAGTGGCTGCGACTTGATCTGCCGTGGTGTCAGTTTCACAGGCAACCGGAAAAAACGAACGGGTGCCGGGATGGTACGATGTCGTCTCAGTTTGCATCTTTGCCCTTCCACAGTTACAATAATAGCCGCGCGTGCCACCAGTTGTCCGGCATCGCACTTGCAACGATTGGCAGCATGCTAAACCACAACAAGGACGGACATTTACCTGAGCTCGCGCGATAGATGGCATAGAACTAAGCGGAACGTGCATGTATGTGAGACTGTGTTCTGGAAGGACTCTGTTCGCACCTCGGCGCAACACCACTGCGATCAAGTTGTGAGGGCTCTGGCCCGCTGCGGTCGAGAAAGCCAGAGCGGCCCAAATCCATCCTCGGCTGTGATCTGCTGAGTCTTTCCTGCACTCGGGACACCGCTGCAGAAGGCTCGTGCGGTTTGACAGGCCCTTAGGATTAGGGCTTGCTGAATGTGTAGCACTGAGAGCAGGACATGGCACAGGCTTGAAGAAGGCTGACCTTTGCAACTCCATGTATGCCATAGTTCCCTACTGCACGGCAGCCGAAGCTCCCTTTCCATGCTCCGACTCCTGACTTCTTTTGCCATCTATGGTTCAGTTGGTCGCAGAAGATCAGGCATCACGCCCCTTGGTGGGACCGCTTGAGGCTAGGCAGCAAATGGAAAAGGCGGGCAAAGGCCACAGCCAGCGCCTTGTATCCTGTTTGACTGCCAAGAAGGCCGATCTGCCGATCGATTTCCTCTTCGCTTGGTTCAAGCAAAGACGTGACCGAACCCTTCCTGCCCCGGCGATCATTCTCAAGAATCGTCCGCAGCGAGCCCAAGCCAGATTTCGTTGAGAACTCAGGGTGGGTTTGTGTGGTGAGGCAATTGCCATATGTCATACCCCAGTGCCCACCAGTGCAATATCCCCAGCTTGCCGCGTGGCTAGGCAGAACCACAGCAGTGTCCGCATGATGGCAAAACAACTGGATGGTTTCTTGATCACTCGGTAAGTCAAGACTGGCTCGGGCAGCATCGGTTAAAGGATATGTTTGTAGTCCCGATTTCGTGCCTGCTGGATTCACAACGACCGTCCCACCCAGTGCTCTGGCAATGGCCTGATGTCCGAAGCAAACTCCGGCTAAAGGACGCTCCTCTTGACAGAGCTTCCGCAGGAAAACGCTCAAAGAGCCAAGCCACGGTTCGTTCTTCGCGCCGCAGGCCGCCGAGGAGATGCTTCCCATGATCAAGAAGCCGCTGTAGGAATCCAGGCTGCTTGGGAACTGGTTTTCTGCGATCTTACAGTTGTGGAGCTCGAAAGGCTCAGCACCGGCATCTCGAAACATTTCCAGCACCATTTCTGGCACATGCTTTCCATATGCCTCATCGTAAGCTACATTCAAGTAGCACACACATTTCTTATTCGAGGCTATTTTGCTTGGAATCGTCACCTGTCCTGAAAGTTCAGCTTGAAGGGCCTCGCTGGAAACGATCCGTGCAAAGCCTTTCATGTTGTGGAGACCGGCTGCGTGATCACTTTCAGATTTTGCAGCACATGCATCTTCGGGAACAGTCACTAGAAAGCCCAGATCTGCGGCGTCACGGACGGCGGACTCCACACACTGGTTCGTCAGCTGCCCACAGATGATCAAGTATCGTGTGCCCAAATTACGCAACACGTAGGCGATGTTGGTCGAGCAGAAAACCGAACAAGATGTCTTCGGTAGGATGATGTCATCCACCCGAGGTTTCAACGCTGGTAGCACAGCAGCATCTGGATGACCCTTCGGGACGTGCAAGGGTCCACTGAGCTTGTAGTCCAAAGAAGCATCTCTCCCGTCAGCAGTAAGCGATTCGATGACGGTGTAAACAACCTCTACACCCGACATGCGTGCCACGTGAAGAAGCTTGGAGATGTTCGGCACCATCACCGTGTCGACACGGTCGAAAAAATACGGCATGTCTGAGCGCTTTGTATCATGGAACACGCCCTTCCCTGGCCGACTGCAATACTCTTGTACATCCACCACAAGGAGTGCTGCTTCCAGGGCAACACAGGGCTTGTTCCTGGTGGACCCGGGAGGAACCATGCGCGGATGATTGAATGCATATGCCATGCTTGAAGATCTAGGCGGCACAACGTGCAGTGACCGATGATTCGACTTAGTTTTATCAGGCCTATGACAGCAGAGTAAGAATGCTTCTGTCTGCAGCGTCGCAGAGCCTCTGAGTTGTAATTAAGCGCAGCTTGAAGCCACATGAAGACTGTTCTCGCTTCGGCGGAAGGCAAAAAGTGTGTCTAGCGCAGTTCAGGTGCAGGCTAGGCTTCTGCAGTTCAGGTGCAGGCTAGGCTTCTGCGTGGCCTCTCCGAGTTCGTGGAAGTGTGGAATCTGAGACCGGCCGAGAGCAGAGCGCCCCGGTTCCTGAAACTGCGGTCGATCTGTGCCACATGTGCCTTGACGAGCGAAGGGTCGAAGACCCTTCGATGCATCAGAGAAGCAGGAAGCGACTGGCCTCCAAGATCATGTCGCGATCAGCAGGGCTCGCAGGTGGCTGCGGCAGTGGCCTGCCTTGTGTGAGGCCCTGAGAGGCAGGTGCAGCTGGTTGTGCGACAACTTTGAATTCTCCCAGGCCTCGAGTTGTGCTCGTCGAAGCACGGACACGACTTGACCCAGGTCAACCCTTCCACTTCCTTGGGCAAGTAGGCCGCGAGAGCCCCCGCTTCCCCACGATTTGCCTGGACCCCGACCCTCTGCGTCGGCCAGTCGCCACAATGCTATCACATCTTCGCGGGTCATGCGTGAATCCTTGCCGTGTGAGCTGAGCTGTAGGATTCCAGGAAGCTGGAAAAGCTAATCATCATCTTGTACCCTCTAGGACTCTAGGATTCAAGATGCATGTCCAGCCTGCGCCACAAGTAAGCCTTCGAACTCAGCATAGGACAGCCCTGTGATGTTGGCCAAGTTGAACCTCGCTTGGAGGCCGTGTCCTCCTCTCTCTTTCAGTAAAAATTGAAGGTAACTCCAGTATGCCGGGAGCTGTGGCCGTCGGAACGTGTCGGGCGGGATGTTCAGGGCCGGAGCAAGTCGCCGCGCCTTGCAACTTCGCCATTGCCAGGCTTCGCTCGCTAACCCCAAAGCTCTGAGGCAATGGCGACTCGGCGAAGTGCGGCTTCCGCCCAGCTGTCGGCCCCGGACCTCGGAACCCAGCTCCCTTCGGATGGAACCCTCCGCACTCTTTTCAGGAACGTCTACTACAATTACAGGTAATGCTGATGCCAAGCACGGAGAAGCACCAAGAAAGCCAATTATCTGAATAGGAAGGAAACGTAGCACGTAGGATCACTGGCTCGGCAAGCCAGCAAGCATCAGGAAACATCCCGAGCGTGACGGGGCGATAAAAATCATGGGCCCAACACTGAAACAGCTACGTACACGTAGCGCTCCTGGGTCCTTCGGCGCAGGGTTGAGATGTATCAGCTCCGCCAAGCTCATCTCCGGTGCTGGGCCGTGGAGCCTGGACTTGTCTGTGGAAGGAGCTGCTGTACGAGCTTGTGAACTTCTCGCTGTATGTGAACGCATCAACCTTCAGAACTCTTGAAAAGTCTGTGGCTTCGGAGGCATCTGTCTCTCTTTCTGGATGGGCATGATTTACAGCCCGTGCGAGTGCACGGCTGTCCTAACCGCAACATCTCTACACAAACCGTACGGTGCGGCCCCTTCTTTCGGGAACAAGACTTGCATATCATCAATGCCCATGTGTGTCCCGCCATCCGGTGGGAAAAGGCTGAACTTGCAAGACAATATCGAAGGCGATGGGGGCAGGTGCTGTTTTCTGGCATGGGGGTCGGTGCGGTAATTGGGTTTGCGGTGGACCGGACTCATGTTGACGGCAGCTTCAGCATCCTTCAACTCGCTGCATCGAAGTACCATGTTGTGGTCCACGGCTTTCGGAACCTTTCCTGACTGGGTGGCCGTCTTTTGTTGATAGCATTACAAGCTCTGCGCTAACGACGGTTA